GTCCATGTAGCTGGGATTGGGGCCAGCCCCTCAGACCTCTCCACTGGTACCCCATTCCCTAAGATTAGGTTGCATTTTAACAAACTCTTTTGACATTACAAAAAAAAAAAAATTTAACTTAAGAGAGAAGAAATTTAAAAAGACCTACTGCTCGCCACACCCCAAAAGAAAAACAGGAGTGAGCAGAGTAGGTCCTTTGGACTGACAGTCCCTGAACTGGGAAACTCCTAGACCCAAGGGAAGACTGATGACAGTGATCTTCCTTCCCTTGGAGCCACCAATAGGAGAAGACCTTCTCCTGTAAATGGTCCCCTGAATTGTGACTTTTAGACTGATGAACTGTGAGAGAACAGATCTCTATTGGAGCTATCCACGTATAGTATTTCTGTAATAGGTAAACAGAATTCAGGTGTCTAATAGATAGGTAAAATGTGGAAGCTGTTGGGAACTGGGTAATGAATAGGTGTCTAATAGTGTAAACCTGCTGTTGTTAGGTAGTCGAGTCAGTTCTGACTCATAGTGACACTACGTACAACAGAACAAAATACTGCCCAGTTCTGTGCTATCCTCACAATTGTTCTTAACGTTTGAGTCCATTGTTGCTGCCATTGTGCTGATTCATCCTATCAAAGGATTTTCTGTTTCGCTGTCCCTCTACTTTATCAAGCATGAAGTCCTTCTCCCAGGACTGAGCAATCTCACAACATACCCCAATTATGATAGACAAAGTCTCAAGTCTCACCATCTTTCCTTCTAAAAGGAATTATACTTCTTCCAAGACAGATTTGTTTTGGCTGTCCATGGGACTTTCAAAATGTATTGCCAACACCATTATTCAAATGCATCAATTTTTCTTCAGTCTTTCTTATTCAATGTCTAACTTTCACATGCATATGAGCTGATGAAAATACCATGGTTTGAGTCGGGCCCATCTTAAGACCTCACAGCAACATCCTTGCTCTTCAACACTTTTAAGAGATCTTCTGCAGCAGATTTGCTCCATGCAATGCATTGCTTGAGGATCCAAGCAAGATGAAATCCTTGACAACTTCCATCTTTTTTTCTTCTACCATGATATATTACCTATTAGTCCACTTGTGAGGATTTTGGTTTTCTTTACACTGAATTGTAATCCATACTTATGGCTGCAATCTTTGATCTTCATCCACAAGTGCTTCAAGTTCTCCTCACTTTCACTAAGTAAGGTTTTGTCACTGGCATATCACAGATTGTTAATAAGCCTGATGCTCCATTCCTTTCATATAATTCAACTTCTCTAATGACTTGCTCAGCATACCAATTGCCTAAGGGTGATGAGAAAAATACAACCCTGACACACACCTCCTGACTTTAAACCATACAATATTCCCTTGCTCTGCTCTCACAACTGCCTCTTGATTCATGCACAAATTCTGCATGAGCATAATTAAATGGGAATGCCCATTCTTTTCAAGGTTATCCATAATTTGTTATGGCCCATATAGTTGAAGACCTTAGCATAGTCAATAAAACACAAGTAAATATCTTTCTGGTATTCTTTGCTTTCAGTCAATATCCATTTGACATAAGCAATGATACTCCATGTTCCACATCCTCTTCTGAATCTGGCCTAAAACTCTGGCAGCTCTGTCAATGTACTGCTACAACCTTCATTAGATGAAAACCTAGTTTGCCTTAGGGAAATGGTGGGT